AAGGCCTCCTTTGGCAGTCTTTACCTTACTTCTCTGCAGTACAGTAGCAAGAATCTAACTTGGAGCAATTAACTACTAAAATATTTTTTGCGTTCTTCTTTTATAAAGGCTCATTGAGTATAGTTAGATGTGCTTTCTTCTGGTTATTTTTCTCATCTCTTAAGCTATTGGAAATGATGTCAAAATCCATGTCACTTTTACAGTTTTTAATGGCACTAGATGTTCTTTGCAGAAGAGAGCCAAAAAGCAAAAACAAAGAAACAACAATAACAATAACAAAAAAGTTAAACTATGAGGAGCAACTGTTTCTTAGTCCCTCTCCTTCACATACAACCATAGTTGCTGAAGCAGGGTGGTAACTGAGCTGTTAGGTATTCTCCTGAGCCTCTCTTCCCTTCATCCCTCCTGGGAAGCACTCACCTCTTGCATCAGGAGTTGGATCACAGATTTTGTACTGCTCTTCACATCTTTGGCTTTGTTATTTTTCTCACTACTCTGAAACTTATTCTGGATGTACTTTAGGTAAATCTGGAACTCCAGAAGACCAGAGGTGATTTTCAGCAGGCAGGTGTCCTACAAAAAGAAAGGTGGGAAAGTCAATTATTTCTAGAAGACAGAATCAGTTTGAGACCTTAAAAATCAGTGTCTTTTCCTTCTGACCATCATGAACATTTAGGCATTTTGTTTTAACACTTGACAGAGTTAGGTATACCTTTCAAAAATATCTGGACAATCAAGGCACCACTTAATTTTGCCTAAGGCCCAACAAGACACTAGAGTGTGGCAGTGGGGACCATTTTGGACTCTTTCTTTAGTGCTCTATCTCCTCTCTTGCCCTTGCTATGGTTTATGTAATCGTCAGATGTCAATGCAAGTTATCTCCCTGGAAGGTGTGGGGTTTGGGTAATAACATCAGCAGGAAGAGTTGGCCTGGATGCTGTTTTGCCTGGATCATGCTAGGGGCAGCCAGAGAAGAATGGTTCCCAGACCACTGGACTCGGCGTTTCTGATATTTGAGAGTTGTGAAAATTCCCAACATAGAGGAGTCCTCATGTTAAAAGAGAAACTATCTTTTTAAAAAAGTTTTAAGTTACCTGCCTCATAAAATTTATATAACGTTCTTTACATCTGTGCCTTTCTTTGTTACCAGCCTGGGTCTATCTGAATATAGTCAATGCATGGAAGAATTGGTTAGGGAATGCTCGAAAGTAATTGATGCAAGTTCATACCCTTTTATGTCCACTTTCAAAGCACCCATCTTCCACTGTCATCTTTGGAAGGTTCAGCTTTTCTTCTGACAATGCATTGTCTTTTCTAACACACTTTTCCTCATTGTTACATACCTGGGAAATAGATACCAGAATTGTTAATCCAAAAATTCTACTCCCAAACCAAAATACCACTAGAGGGCCCCACTTATGTTCTACCACACCAGCAAAAGGAAGTTACAACCTATTGGCATCTTGGCAAGCAATTCCAAGTGGAATTAGGCACACTTGGGTTCAGTCCCAGATTGCCTATGGCTTCAGGCATATTACTTATCCTGTGTCTCAGTTGCCTTCTTTCCAAACTGGGAAGCATCTAAATGCCTCCTACTTTTGTTCTGAGGATTAGTTGGAGCATTTAAATGAAGTGCCTGGTACAGTGTAGGTATTCAATAAGTGACAGCAATTTTGATGATAATTTGGGGCAAATACGCTTTAGCCATAGGATGTTCTAACTAGAATGACCTGTGAGAGAAAGGAAATTCCATAATTTTACAGATAAAGTGGTAAAATACAGAGGTGATATTTGTCCACGATTACAAAGCTGGTTTAGCAAAACCAGAGCTGGAGTCTGGTTTTCCTGTCCTATTCCGCATGTTCTTTTCTTTTTGTCAAACACAGCCAAAATCCAGGTGCCCACTGGTGGTCCATGCCTGTAATCATAGCTACTTAGGAGGCTGAGATCTGAGGAATGAGAACACAAGAGGTCCCAGTACCAGTA